CCAGAATGTGTCGATGTCGTTGTCTTAAATAAGATTTTTACTACGTCGCGTTTCACACTTTGTCTCGTTGTGGCTCTTTAGGAGAAGTAATGCAAAGCTAGCTTTGATACCAAATGAATCAAGGATGTGTTAATGCATTTGAATTTAGAGCATTGCCTTAAATAAAGACTTGTATTACATCACGTTTCACAGTTCATTCCACTGTTTCTAAGTGGAAGTTGTGCAAAGCTAGCTTTGATACCAAATTGATCTTCACTATCCACCTCAGAATCAAGTTGGCTCATAATCACACGTGCTTTTTTGATGTCAAGAATATGATTGGATACTGAGGCAATTTTTGAGGCGGCTTATAATCATGCATACATTTTGACTCAGAATCAAGCTTAGTAATATGTCATGTCTTTCGTTTAATAGGCTAAAAAAAAAAAAGTTAAGGTGCGCCCAGCACCCCGAAGTATTTACCCAGATGCGTCCAGTCGTTTAAAGTAATTTTGGGTGTATCCAGTATCCTAAATTAACTAAAATGGTGCGTCCATATCTCAGGCTAACAGAAATGTTATGTTTAACCGTTACTTTCCTAACTCAATTTAAAGTTGACCCCAGATATTCTAAATGGTAGACGTATGAACATTTGATGTGTATTATTCTTATTTAAAATTGAATTTATTTCCTTCCTCTTCTTCTAAATAAATTGACTTTTGAGTGAGAATAATACACATCGGGTGCCCATGTGTCTACCATGTAGAATATTTAGAGTCAACTTTAAGCTGAGTCAGGAAAGTAACGGTTAAACATAACATTTCTGTTAACCTGGGATATGGACGCACCATTTTAATTAGTTTAGGACACTGGATACACCTAAAATTACTTTAGGCCACTGGACGCAGCTGAGTAAATAGTTCGGGATGCTGGACGCACCTTAAAAAAAAAACAACAAATAAACTAATAAGCTTAGTTATTAGTAATATTCATCTAGCCCAATAACTAATAACTCCGTAAAGCCTGTTTCCCCAACTGGTCATGCATCTTGTTGGAAGAGCTATCAACCACTTGTAACTCGACTTGTCAACCTATCTTCATCATGCTTTTAACTTCGCTAATAAGAGGCCACTCTTTATGCGTGTCAGGGTTTTATTATAAAAAAAACTTAAGGGAAAATGACAACAAAATACCACCTGAATTCCAAAAAGACAAATAAGAGACATGAATAAGCAAAATGACAAATAGGGCACTGGGTACCAATTTGGAATATAGATTTTCGGCCAAAAGACCGAATTGCCCTGATTGTCTCTGAACATTGAGCAGTGTATTCATGCGATAGAGAAAGGGAGAAACTGATTTCCTTCTACGAAACTAAATCCAAGTTCCTGCAGTCACCAAAAAGGATTTTTCGAAATCACGTTGCCGTCGCGTAGGAGTAGATTGCCATCGCTGAATTTGGTTACCATCGCTGAAATACATTGCCCTGTCTGAAATAACTTGTACCCCTGAAATTGTCGTCGTCGAAGAGGTCGCTGAAGTATTTGAATTATTCATGAGTGAGTAGAAGTTGATGGCGGGATTTGGATTATTCATTTTTGTGGCTGTTTTATGGTGAAATAGGAACAAGATTATTGCATTTGAGGGTTCATATTCAGTATTTGGTGAATGATGAAGCATAAATCAGAAAATAGTCGCAAGCAATTACGTAATGTAATTGCTGTCATATGTTTGCTGGTTTTTGGTAAATCCCATTCTGTGAATGGTAAATCCCATTCCGTGAATGGTAAATTTTAATATACATGTAGTTAATTATAAAACTTAATAGTTCAATGTTTATTGTGATATACTTCAGGTGCACGTTCACTGAATGATTTATTTATGCTTACAAGTTGCTCTTCCGGTGAAAACAGGTTTACAAAACCCATTGAAGAAGTGGTCACTTTCACTATAAAAGTTGTAAATCCCATTATGTGTTTTGTAAAATTCAGTGTGAAATTTTATTGGTGGTGAAAAGTAAGTTACTCATCCCCCGAAAATATGTTGCAAAATCTATTAACAAAGCGGTCACTTTTATCACAAAAGTTGTAAATCCCAGCATATGTTTTATAAAATTCAACGTGAAATTTTATTGGTTTTTAGAAACAAGTTACCTATCCCCTGAAAACAGGTTACAAAAGCCATTTAAGAAGTGGTCATTTTCACTATAAAAGTTGTAAATCTCACTGTGTGTTTTGTAAAATTCAGTGTGAAATTTTATTGGTTTTTAGAAACAAGTTGCTTATCCCCTGAAAAGAGGTTGCAAAACCCATTTAAGAAGTGATCATTTTCACTAAAAAGTTGTAAATCTCACTACATGTTTTGTAAAATTCAGCATATAATTTTATTGGTTTTTATAAACAAGTTGCCAATCCCTTGAAAACATGTTGCAAAACCCATTGAAGAAGTGATTATTTTCACTACGAAAGTTGTAAATCTCACTATGTGTTTTGTCAAATTTAGTATGAAATTTTATTAGTTTTTAGAAACAAGCTGCCCATCTCCTGAAAACAAATTACAAAACCCATTGAATAAGTGGTCATTTTTACTACGGAAGTTGTAAATCTCACTATACGTTTTGTCAAATTTAGCGTGAAATTTTATTAGTTTTTACAAACAAGTTGTTTATCTCCTGAAAACAAGTTGCAAAACCCATTAACAAAGTAGTCACTTTCACTACAAAAGTTGTAAATCACAATATGTATTTTGTAAAATTCATAATTAACTAATGTATAGTAAAATTTATCATTCACTTAGTGGGATTTACCATTCACGTAGTGGGATTTACTAAAAACCAGCAGGCATATGACAGCAGTTATGTAACGTAATTGCTTGTCATTGTTTTCTGATTTCCACTTCATCTTCCCCGCAGGTTCACTCCCTCTCTCACTACAAATCCTCTTTCCCACAACCAAAACCCACCAAATCAACAATCTCTACAGAATGGTGATGCGAAGGAGTAAGATAATAGTATTTCCAACATTCTTCTTTCCTTCTTCCCGCATTTCATCACCATTGGTCTTCCTCTCTCCTTTCTCTCACTGCGTCGCTTTCTTCCTCTCTCCTTTCTCTCACTTTCAGACAGGGCATTTTGGTCTTTTGGCCAAAAATCTGAATTCCAGATTGGTACCCAGTCCCCTATATGTCATTTTGCTTATTCAGGTCCCTTATTTGTCTTTTTGGAATTCAGGTAGTATTTTATTGTCATTTTCCCAAAACTTAATTGAGTACGCTGGGTTTTGGCTCGTCTAGGGCCTGGCGGACATGCATTGCTTAATATGGGAAAAAAAAATGATAAATCACTGTTGCAATTTTTTTTATAAATAATGGCCATTTTTTGTTTGTCCTCTCACTTCATACTTGCAATAACAAAAACAAGTGTGAAATATAGTCCTTGGCAATGATGAGACAGTTTGAGCTTACATGCAAGCTTATAATGAGTTAATATAGGCTTATGTTTAACCTTCATATAAATCATTTCATTTGTGTTCAGCTTTCTATTACTATTAGGGCAAAAAAAAAAGTCTTTTAGACCGATTAAAATAAATACTCCTCCAGTCTTTAATATAGGACCCAATTGTTGAATTGATTTTGGTCCTAAATATAAGACCCATTTATCATATTTATAAATTTTTTCTAAACTACCCCTATGAATACTCTCTCAACCATAATTGAGTAGAAGAGGAAGAGGAGGTATAAAGAAAAATGATTATGGTATTTTAGGAAAAACATGTCACATTTCTTATAATTAACTAACGTACATAACTTTCTTAATCTAATCAAATTAATTAAATAGGTCTTATATTAAGGACAAGAGGAATATCTTAGATTGAGCTTGAGACCGATCTAGAAATAACTGGTTTAGAAAGTCTGTCACTTTTTATAACAGTTGCACACCCAGTCTAAAAAAATTAGCATTATATAAATAAAAAAAAAAAAGTCCACTTTTTTTTTTGGACTAAAAAAAAAGTCCACTTTTTAGATAAGCTATTTCCATAACTGATCTAAAGAGTGGACATATTTTTCTCATGTATATATGTACACAATTTATTTTCTTTAAAATCCCTTTTTCATGAAACATAAATTCAGTAACCAACCCAAAACTTTCAAGTACAATTAATTTGCAATATAAATTTCTAACAACTAATTTTTTATTCTTTAATCTAGCTAAAGTTACAATGAAGTTTGAACTTGCCACAATTATGTTTTAATTAATAGGGTTAATACCAATTCTAATTCATAAAATTTGATTTTATTTTGATTTTAATCCTCAAAATTTGAAACCAATCATTTTAATACTTAAAATTTGATCTCATTTTGGTCTACGTAAAAATTTTTGGTTCATGTAATAATATTTCTACTCCTTGAAATAAGGTTTTAAGAGCTAAAATCACTGTCTTCAAATCTCAAGAATTAAAACTACAGTGATATAAAATTCCAGAGTGTTAACTCTTTATATTAACACAACCTACTATTGTTGCACTTGAAAAAATATTTCAAAGTGCTGAATAAACCACAGAATGTAACACACTTAAAAAAATATTTCAGAGTATAGTAGACAAAGTCAGAAAAATATTTCAAGGTACTGGTCAACCTTAACCCAACATTTTATTTAACAGCAAATCTCCAAATCTGATCCAATACTACCAACAAAACAGGACTCGCCGTAGTTGAAGGACTAAATAAATCTCACAGTGGCAGATCCGAGGATAAGAAAGCTGAACACAGGTGAAATGATTTATATAAAAGCTAAGCCATAAACCTATATTAGCTATATATAAACCAATGTTGAGTTATTATAGGATAAGAGTCCCTATAATCTTGAAAACAAATATTCAACATTTGGAGGTACTTCATTGAATTATTTCTCTTCCTATACATTCAAGAGCAAAAAAGCACATGAATGCTATTTGAAATGCTCCCTCCACTCTTGCCTTCTGGTTTTTTTTTTCCCAGCCAAAAAGAGTAAAGCTTTCATTTCTTTAATTCTCTTCAAGTCTCTCAATTGCTGCACTAATCCCGCTCTTTACTTCTTCCCTTCGATCTAATTCTGGATGTGAAGAAACAGGGTTCCCTTCATTAGCTTTTTCTACAAGCTTCAGATGTAACCAACCTGTCAGGCATTAATGGAACATAACTTCAGCAGGTAGCCAGATTCCCAAATCCATCAAATTACTTCTCCAAAATGTACTTTATTGTAATGTAATATAATTAATCATCCAAACACTAGAATAACTACAAAACGTTTCAACAAACAAATGAACAGTGAATAGCAATCATGTTACAAGTTTCCAAAATTAGTTTTAGCGTTTCACTAATACTTCATTTGAAAGGGAAGAAAGTGGAGAGGATTTTTTTTTTTTTTTTAACCTGGTGGGGAATGAAAATTTGGGAACTTACTTTTCATGACAATAAGAATGAAAACACATATGGTAAGAATATTACACAGCTGTTCTCCATTAAATACCAACTCAGCAAAAAGAATTAATTATGTTGAAAGATTTTTCATTCTCTTTCCTTAAGGCATAGATATAGATGAGGTGGCACTATGGCATTTCAGACGTTTCGGCTTCTCTCTTTCTACAAAGTTCTGTTCTGTTATTGGTGGGGCGGGGGGAGGAACAATCTGCAGATTTTAGTATGAGCAATACAGATACTTAAAAAAAAAAAAAAATCCAGTTTCCATGAAAACTCTTCAAGGACTAATGTGTAAACAATGTACCGAGAGGAAAACAGAATGCTGCTCCCAGAACGGATCCTAATGCCACATTCCTTGCACGCCAAACAAGTGATCCTGGCACTGAAGTAAGAAATGAACTTATCATATTGAGCTCTTCAGTTTCAAGTATTTACACAAGAAAATAAAATGAACTTCTTTACTATATTTATCATATCAGTACAGAATGTTCTAGCTTTCCAAAATAAAATTGACTAGATGTATAACTCCTTACTGATCAAACCAAATGTCGCTGCAGTGGCTGATCCAGCTCCAGCAACATTAAAAACATCATGAACACCCCGCTTTTCTGCTAACAGATTCTGTAGACCATAAAATGCAGCAGTGAACATCCCAAGGCGTACTCCACCAATTATTGATCCCTTAGTAACTCGAATAAATCGCTTCTCCATTGCATCTCTCATCAACCGATATTGCTCACGTTTATCTGGAGTGCTCCCAAGCTTCAACATCACTTCTGCATCCTTGCTCTAGCAAAACATAGAAAAGTATTAATCGATAATTGAGTGGAGATAAGGAAAAAAAGCATATTAGCTAATGACATGCGAACCACCACGAAAAGGATGTATGATTGGTTACAAAGTAAAAGGGCGTCTAAATTAGATTCTCTCTTTCAATGGTAAACAACTATTATACTTGTAGTTCACAGTTCTCACATGCCACAATTTGCAACATTTTTCACAAATATTAACTTAGTAGTCATGTTTGTAAAACAGGAGATATGGATTCTTATTGAATTCAGATGTAAACAACTTCTAACAGCCAGAACATACATACATGTACATTAATGAGATTAACACCGTTTTCAAAGGTTATTCGTAATTTTTTTTCCTTCTGTTTTTTTGCTTTTTTTTTTTTTTTGGGGGGGGGGGGGGTTGAAAGGACAACTCATTGGATATATAAGCGGATTATTTAGCAACATGTTGTACCCCATGCGTTCCTTTTTTCTGTGTAAGTGTGATTTTATGGACATAGCAAATGGCATCAACATGCTGAAAGAAATGCAATCGACCAAAAAAAAAAATCCACTCAGGTCGTTGCACTCTTCCAACACCATTCAACCTCTCCAAAGATCCACATTTCAGTACAGTTATATTTAACAGTATCTTACTCATAATCTAATATTATCTCACATTATACTTTTTTTAAAAATATTTGGTGAACATTTCATTTTATACTTTTCCTCCAGGTACATTTTCCCTCACCCTAAACTCATGCTTTTGCAAGCAACGTTGATTATCTAGAACTGCAAATAAGCAAACTAACATCAACACCCTCCTAGCAATGGTGTCCAGCTCAGCTCCTCATAGTTGCTTTCGTAGTGTGCAAATCAAACCCAACTTCATGAAGTTATATTACCTTAATTTCAGTAACCTTTCTTCATTGAAATATTAGTATTCTTGGTGGGCCACAAATGAAATGACATGATGCTTGAAGCATCTTTTATTTGCAAACTTACAACAGAAGCAGATGCCTCCTTGCTGCCTCCATACAACATGCCGGCAAATATTCCAACAACCGTTGCTGTACCCCAGTTAACAGTTCCAGCTAATTTTGGAGTATCCTAATAAAGGAAAGTAGGAGATTAGCTATAAAAGCAAATTCAGTTTGGCACCATAAAATTTACAAACCATTATAAAAGATCATATTTTAAAAGCTTACAATAAATGGAGAAAGAAGTATACCATTTTACTAGGAATTATTAACTGAACATTTTTGAAAATTAGCCAGGACTCATGCGCAGTAACAAATTTACTATTCATGTGTTCGATGCACAAACCATGTACACATCATTGGCTATTGTAGCAGGGAAGGGAAGCCTGACTACTGATAGAAGGGCATATTAAAGCTAGAAGTCTACTGTGTCTAGTAATCATGCTTACCAACCCTCCCGAAACTCTAGTTTATAAACTTCATTAGCAAGATGTCTGTGAAATTTTGACAAACCAATCCTACATTAGCAAAGCTCTGCTGCTTACTGCTTATCACTCAATTTGTGATGTAACTTATGAGATCAGTTGGCCAAGCTTTAAGCAATTAATATGCTTAATATCTAAATTTGATAGATAATTGTTGTTTGCTTTAGGGAGAAGAACCAAATCCGGAACCAAGATTGAACCTAGCTTGACAATTTGGTGGGACTTGTGAAGTCAGAGCTCCCTAAGTCACTAACAAAATTAACAAGGGTAATTCTCCAACTCCGACTCAATGAACCTTATTAGCAAGAGATAGAGTGTAACATCAAATATATCAATGGGGTTATCAGTACGAAGATACAAAGTAACTTCTACGCCTCTCTCCCATACAAACTCTTTCCAAACAACCAATAATATATCATTACAAATTCAGTACCACAGATAGCTACATGTTATCATAATGTAGAATAAAAATCATCAATTCAAGGAAGATGGGGTGAAAGTTGTTACATATGGAACGGAGGATTCTGAGTTCCCTGTGGTTTCCATTGATGAAGGGATACAAAATCAACGATCCTTTGATGAAATGCAAACGAACTTCAATAACTTGCTTGGTTGCCAAGAAATTAGGATAGACAAGAATCTGAAAACTGTTTTTGGACTTTGAAACGGATCAGTGAAATCACTATGCAACTAGCAGAATCAAACTAATTCACTGAATATTGCGGACTCATACTCGTACTGTTGCACCACTGCGGAACATAAGCTGGGACCCAAAGATGGGGACCTGTGTTGATCAACAAAGTTCAACATTATAACCGCAATGAATGAGCCATTCAAGATGGGATGCAAGAAATACTAGCTTTTTTGAAGGGCCATTTGTCAGTCAAAAGCTTGAAGTGTCAAATAAAAGCTCAGGAATGACTTTATAGTGTAATTGCTGACAAGCCTATCCCATAAGTATGATAATGCACACATCTTAAACTGTTAAGTGAAGCTCATACATGGTTTTGTTCTAATATTTAACTATAATAAAAGGGGAATCGTGAATGCAAAGTAATCCATAGACCTAACAACACTGAGAGATAAAGTTCCTTTTTTCATTTTTTGGTGAACTCGAGAGATAAAGTTCTACTTTGCCTGTGAACATGCTATGGGTCACTAATATACTTCCCATTAAGTAAAGTGAAGGCTTTTCTTTGGATCCCGGCACTTAACACAATTCATTCAAATAAATATTATTATATTTATCAAGTTGCTGTGATACAGGAAACAAACTTCCCAAGCCTGGACAAAAGTCTAGTTCAATAGTTATCAGCAAAACGAGTAAAACCAAGCTGCTGCCAGGAAAACCTGTGACATTTAAGGCACTCTTCTTTAAGAAAACCTCAAATTCCTATAAGAAATCAGACCAAGGACTCTGGAATAGCCCAAAACAAAAGGCCAGAAATTTTTGAAATTAATAGACGAAGACCATCACTAAGCTACCTAGATAACAGCACCAAAAACAATGATCAATTACGGAAATGCATACTTTGTGGTGACTGCAAGCTTCAACATGGCAAGCTTGTAGAAAGAATAAAAAGGAGGACCACAAAACGGCATTATCACAGTATAATCATGGTAATAAAAATAGTAGCAACAGGCCATAATATGATTAAGGCCCAATATTATATAAAGTTCTTGCTTAGACTATCTTTCTATTATCAAGAGATGACGGAAGCCAAGAATTCAATTCCAAATGTATAAAAAAGCACAACTCGTTCGACACAGAATTACGAACCAGAATGGAAGAAAAAGCCAGAATACGAGAATATATTAGCTGCGGAGAAAGACAGCGAGGGCGAGAAGATGAGGTCACAAGTAGCAGCGAAGTCCGATGTTAAGGCCGAAGAGCAAAGAGAGGCAAACGAATTCGGATCAGAATTTGGGCAATAGAGAGATTCGCAGGCGCGCAGTGAAGAAGGCCGCTCTCTGAACGAAGCAGCAGAATTAAATTCTTTTTATATTTTTATTTGAAAAAATGAAACCACGTCGTTTTAAGCACGCGACACTCGGTGGCAGCTCAAAAATACTTGGGTGCGCCTTTTTTTTTTTTTTTTTTGGGTTTAGTGATAGTTTGCTTTCTTCATCTTTCACCGGGAAACATTGATGGGCCCTTTAAGGTTCATTGGGCCACAAAATGATGGGCCTATACTATTGGATTAGGCCCAACAATGGAGAATCCATGAGGGTGGTCTTTTTTTGGCGCCAAAACGGGAATTCCAAATCAAGCCCCACTTTTGATTTGGCTTAGGAAGTTAATCCAAATTGGTGCATAGTCTTAGAGATCAAATATTTAATTTTCTTTTAAAAAATTTAGAAGAAAATATTTATATCTATATTTTTAAGGAGTTTTATTTTTAGTTCCAATTGTTTTAATCCCTATTTGTTAGTACTGTTGAACTGATATCCAAGACCTCTATGAAACCAGAACAATTAATGTTTTGGACAGAAAAAACCTATAGGATGAAAAATAACAATTTAAAATTATAGGGATAAAAACTAAAATTTAATCAAATTATATACTAACCAAAGAAAGGAATTAGAACCATTATTTTGTCAGCTAATTCGTTCAAGTTCAAATCTTATGTTATAAAACAAAGAACATGAGGGTGAGCTAATAAAGAATTAATTTGTCATTATTTGGATCGGATTATGTTCAAAATAAAAGCGTGAAGCGACAGACTTGGATTCAAAGAAAGGCTATTTAGTTGTTTCAATGATTATGGAATGTGCAGGCATTTTATACATTCATAATTTCATATCCCAAATAGGCAAACTGTGAGTCGTACATAAAATTGCTGTCCACCCATTCAACAAAAGGCTTCAACCTCAATGCTTCAAAAGCTGAATGGATCCCAGCATCTCAGTCTGGGAGTCTGGAATTTGAACACTTTGTCTGATTAATAATAATTATTTCATACTGTGCTCTTAAAAATTGAATCAGAATCATAAAGCTACACATCTCCTGTTTCGTTACATCTTTTGAATGCACTGTTTTGCCATGTAATACTCCATATTCTGTTTTGTACATTTCGACTTCATGAATTTGTATATTCTCTAAGAACTGCTAATTGGCTAATAAAAATGTTGACTAATTAATGATATTCTTTTTTTATATGGTTTCTAACACTAAAACTTTTTCAAGTTAGACAAACTTCAGCGTATAATCCCTCCGAAGCTGGTTGTAGGGTTGTATATCACAGTCAATTCTGTTTATCATATTTACCGTTATTTTCTCAAATTATATTATGAAGCAATATATAATTTAATGAGACACATATATTTTAGAAAAATCAAGTCACAATTATTATAATTTAACTGCTGGTCAAACAAGGGCCGTGAGAAGCCGAAACAAAGTTGGAGACCAGACCATTAATTGAAATTAAAATATATTGATCGTGAATTTTTATGAACGGAAAATGATAATTGAATAATACAAATAGATATATGGTGAAATTTTAAACAGTCAGATTAATTTTGTTACATGATGTCCTATTATCATTTTTCCCTGTTTATTAGTTTACGTTGATATGCTCACGAACTTATTCGGGAAAAAACGCATAGAAGTGCTTTATTTTTGTTATTAATTATTATCACAAACAGTATCCACGTTAGAATATCTAGGAAACATTCTCAAGGCTCGTGATGTGATTTTCTTAATCCTCTTCTCACCAACCTGTGAAGCACTTTATAAAGAGACAATGTTGAGTACCATATACTATAATAATAAAGTGGGGAGATCATTGTCCAAACCAATGATGGCTCTTCCTGCTACTACATCATAAACAAAAAAACCTTGAACAAAAACCATCAGAACCCACTTGGTATTACACAAAATGCTTTCATGGGATCAGGGTATTGTGCCTGTCTTTATCTTGAAAATATTAATACTTTAAGGAACACCAAATGTGGAGCTCTTCCCTTTTCTCTTTTTTGACTAGCCCAGTACAAGATACCCCTTTTCTTTCCCTCAACAGTGAAAGAGTAAAGACCATCCCCTTAAGTTCACATGCTTGTGTTCTTCACTTTGGCTCCCATACACTTTACTTTTTATCCCATTTCACACTAAAATATAACACACAAGAGCAAAAACAAAACCCCATCATCATCATATTCATACCTATGTTCCACAATATTGAAGAAGACCCCATCTCTAGACCATATAGCTATGCCTTTAGTTTTTTTTTCTTTTTCTTTTTCTTTTTTTTCTCTAGCCCCTTTTTACACTGATCAGACCCCACCACGGAGGATCCTATATCCCTCCAATTTCTGCCAAAAATTTCCAATCTTTCCTTCCTTCAGAAGAAAAAGTTCATATTTTGTTCTTGTTACTCCTTTCAGCAGCAATAGAGAGCAGCCTTGAGACTCCCTGAGTCCACACATCATACTCCCTTTGATTTCTGCACTCGAATTCAACGACGCCTCGCATCATTGTTTTCAGCCCAAAGTAGCGCCGGTTCTCACCGCCTTCAAGCAGGTGGCGGCCGGGCCAGGCCGGCATGTCCTTTATCACTTCCATTACCACATCTGCAGAATTCAAAAGCAAGAAAAGCATCAGGGTGAGTTCTGGCACTGCATCTTGAAAATTCAAAAAAAGAGGGGGTGAGGAATTAAAGAAGAACACTTTAATCTTTTGAAACTTTAATGACCAGAGACTTTCACAAATCCCTAAATGGAAGAAGACCCACCTCCAAATCTGTTACCAAATAATTATTAGAGAAAAACAAAAGTAATCAAAGAGGGACACACTAAAGAGGAACTCACTCTTTTTCTTTTTTGTGATGGTCCCAGCAACATGTCTACTCTTCATCTTCAACATAACCTGCACAAAAAGAGACTTCAAAAGAGTTAAAGATTGAAGATTTCTAAGAACTAAAGTAGATCCAACCTAAAACACATCGTCATCCTTCTATCAGAGCCCCCACATTTCCCCGCTTTTTCCATATGATCAGGTTCACACTCATCATTAACCATGGCTCCTAATCGATGATCCCCAAATAATTATCCACTGATTGGTCATTCATCATTGTCTAGTATCCAACAAAAAACAAAGGACATTATCTGAAACAGATAGAATAAAGGTCACACACCTGGTTCATCCTGTTTATGTAAACTGACACAATTTTCCAATGAAGATCACCTGCAATTGTCAAATCAAAACACAAAAACAATCACTAATCACCATGTACATCAAAATTTCAGCAAGAAACAACATTATGTTCTTGTCCTATGCTTGTTAAATCACATGATGCCATGTCCTGTATCTCTCCAATAAAAAATTTACCTTTACGAGTTCGTTTAAGGAGCTCACAGCCTCTGGCTAGTAGTTCTCTGCTACAGATACCTAAGAAATTCTCTTCCGGGGCTAATTCGCCGCTAAAGCTACTGTTCGAGTTGCCGGTGCTTCCATTGCCACTAGCTCCCACACCTTTCTCTACAGGGATTACTGCTGCAATATTCCAAACTTCCTTGAGGGCCCTTGCTTTCAATGTGGCTGCCCCACGTAGAGCTGTGAATTCAAAAACCACAAGGCACAGAATTGGCCTCATCAGCTAGCTTCATGTCAATATCACAAAGATCAAATCATATATTGGTCCTCAAAAACAACATATAGGGCCCTTGACAATTTTTAATGCTTTGAAACTGTTTTGTAATTTGTACCATTTCAATTCATGAAAGTATAGAATATGTGATGCTCAGAAGAATGCATGGTGGTGTTTTAACTTTATCTTTTAATATCCCTTAAAGATTTGAGATTGAAATTAAATCGGATAAAACACTCTGAGATTTTCATGAAGTTTTAAATCGGATATTCAATTATTTCCGTTACCTGTAGCCGCTGCTGCAGTCAATGTCATGATGTCTCCGGCGGATCTCACATTCACAGCGGAGCCGACCACGGACGCAAGGTGATCACGCTCAGCTCCCATGGCCTCTGCCGCCTCGACGCACTGAGCAGCGACCAACGTTGCGGCCGAGGCCACAGCCATGTCAGTTTTTGCCATCTGTTCATCTTTACCTGCTCCGGACGATGCTGCCGTGGCGGCAGCGATGGCCGCGACGGCAGCTGCAACACCGGCCACAGAGATGGCAGCATGAAGCTGAGCATTTTGAGCCCTGGTTTCCTCCTTCTTCTTCTCCTTCCTATCCTTTAGCCACCTCCCGACAGTCTTCCCACCACCAGCGGGGACCGCTACAGTACTTCCAGCCACGGTGGTTGGCCGGAACTGGGTATTCAAGTTGTTATTGGCGGGGCGGTTATACTGCAGAAGAAAGGAATTCGCGGGGTCCATTATTACTAACAAACTCACTCCGAAAACGGAACAACAAAACCATGTGCAAAAATCTGTTATCCGATTTTCTTGTTTCTTCTCAGGGACAACATCAAATGAAAGAAAGAGAAATGAAATCCCAATACAAGCAACCCACCTCGGGCTTATCGGGTCCATCAGTCATTATTGCAAATCGCAATAGAGACGAATTTCAAAGCTGTGTTCTACTAAAATAGGACTCGCAGGACAGTTTCTAACGAAAACTAATGGGGTCGAACTAGGAAGAGAAAACAGCAACAAATATAGCTAAAAGTAAAAGTTTCCGGATAAAAATTAAATATTCTTATCTTTTATAGTAAGCTTGCTTCGTTTTCATTTTCGTTTAACCGCCTTATCACAGCGAGTTTTAGTCTTAATCTAATCATACATAAATTAAGGAGTTAGTCAGTAAATGTCTCATGGGAAGTAGGAAAATGAAAACGAGTTGAATTAATTAAGGCATTGAAGATAGTAACGAGAAGAAGAACGACCACCACCAGTCCAGGCTATTTCTCTCTCTGGGTACATCATTAAAGAGCGTTGGTTATAGTGAAAGCTGAACTATATGCTCGGTTCTAAGTAGGCAGCAGAGAAACCAGTAATCGTGTTTCGGACCAAAAGTTTAAAACAACAGCAGCAAACATGTTGTCGGATTAGGTAGATGTCAGATTCCGGCAAGAAGGCCACCGGCAAGCAAGAAAAGCAGTAATAATAATACTGTACTAGAACAGGAAAAAAATTATAATTATTATTAAAAACACAAATTAAATCGTCACGATGGACCTCATAGGACTCAATTTTTTTATCCCGGAAACATGGTGTGGTACCCGTACGAGAAAAAGAGGGACACATACCTTGACATCGTCGATTTCCGAGGGAGAAACAGGAGGACTGTCGGTCAAGGAGCCACAACTCTGAGTTCCGTTGAGAGGGCCACTACTGTGAGAGAGCCTGCCTGAAGTGCGTGGAGATACCTCCTGCTGCACGAGTGAATGCAATAATTGCGTCAGTTATTGTTTCTGAAGAAGAAGAAAAAGCGCCACTGATTGTTGCAACCAAACTCGTTCGGATAATGAAAAAGGAGTGAGGAGTGAGGAGAGAGAGAGAGAAAGATAGAGAGAGAAAGGGGAGGGAATGATTGTGGTTCTGTTAGTGGGTGTGCGATAAAAATTGGAATCTGAGAGAATTGGCGCACAAAAAATGTGAAGAAACAGCAAGGAATAAACTGAAATTCTATTAAAAACTGAAAGGAGGGAGTAATCGTGATATACTCCTGTGAAGAAGAATACCAGGGAATGGAAAACAATGGAATCTTGAAGAACTGAAGAACAAGGAATTTGAAAAACCGGGAAGAAGGGGATAAAAGGATTTGATTAAACTTGAGAACAAGACAAAAGATAGCTAGAAACCAAAATCAGCTTCTGAAAGTGTGAAAGACAAGAGTGGCTAGCAAGAACCAGAAGGAAAAAAACAAAAAGCACAAAGGAAAACAGTCACATAAATCCATTAGAGAAGTGTCTATCTTCAGGAAAGATTGGGAGAAAAAATCGAAAATCCTTTAAAAAAAAAAACCGTCTCATCCTCTGAGAAAAACAAAAACAAAAACTTCTTTAATTTAACCGTACATACATGCTCTGCTCCACTAAGCGTGAGCTCACTCACCGACTGTGACATAATACGCTCCATCACCATCTGAGAAGTTTCGGAGGAAGCAAAAGAGAATGGGTTTCCTGAAACGGTGGCATTCTCTTCGATTTCGCCGGCGATGTCTTCAAGAATAGGACCGCCGTGAGCGCCGGCGGCGGAGCCGCTGAGACCTCCATTTGGGGACTTTCCAAGCGAGAGCTGAGCAGGGGAGAGAGCCTTGGAGACTTCGAGAGCAGAGACGCTCCATGAACGAGAGAGGAACTCCATGGGCTCACGCGGGGTCTCCGGCGGCCTGAACATGACGGAATGAAAGGGGTCAGGCCTCCAAGGCTCGGTTTCCGGCCTCTCCATTTGGAGTTAGAGAGCAGTGAAGGAGACGGGGATCACAGAGACGTTGGCGTTAGAAAGTAGGAAGAGGCTTTGGCTTTGCTTCTATTTGGTTCGGCGTTTTTATAGAGAATCGTGGAGAAGAAAGAAGAGAGGAGAGAGATTATCAAATTATCAGCTGTGAAAGGAAAAAAACAGAGTAAGAGAGAGACAGAGACAGATGGAGTCCAAACTCCAAATTACGAGTCCAATCCAAAATAAAATAAGAGAAAATGACACACGAAAAAGCTTAAAAATATGAAATGTGAATTTGAGAAGCTAAAGGGTGTTTGGATATAAACCAAACCATGATTTTAAAAGTGTTTTTACGGATTACGAAGTAAATATATGGAGAAAGTTGTCTCGTTTTGTGAAAAAGTACTTCTGAAACTGCGGTTTTAAGAATGTCAAACACCCCTTAAAAAAATATAATGATAGAGAGAGAAGTTCATTTCAAATTATAATTTTAAAATTCAGTAAAATGATAAAAATATCCTTGTCTTTTTTCTTTTTTTATTTTAAAAAATCTCAGCCCCTCACCGGTGGTCGGCGGCAGCCACGGGGCACCGGCACTAGCCACCGGTGTGGTGGCTGCTGGTAAAGTTTTTTTGTCACAATATTTTTTTTTTTTGACATGGGAGAATATGGTTCAAAGTGACCGGGTAGGATTTGATCTCACAACCCCTTGGTTATTTTGGCCAACAAAAGGGAAGATGACTATTAGGCCATCAAAAATTTCTTAACCCTATAAATGCGAACAAAAATATAAATGGACTCTTTCACTATGACTTCAACCCGTGATAACAATTTATCTGAGAATGACAAGTCTTAATTGAGAAATAACAAGTTTAAATTTGATGTTAACAAAACAACTTTTCTTACACATAACAAGAAGTAGCATGTATATTAATTAAAAATGACTATAATTTATTTGAAAATGACACGTCTTTACTAAAAGATGACAAGTCTAAGTTTGAGATTAACAATGTATCTTTTCATGATATATAACAAGAAATAGCATTTACATTAATTAAAAATGATCATAATTTATTTAAAAATGACGCGTCTTCATTAAAAAATGACAAGTCTAAACTTGATATTAACAAAGTAATTTTTCTGATATATAACAAGAAATAACATTACATTCCTAAATAAATTGTTGACATTTTTCACTAAAGATGTGTCATTTTCCAATAAAGACGTGTCATTTTCAAATAAATTATAGTCATTTTTAATTAATATACATGTTATTTCTCGTTATATATCAGGAAAAGACACATTGTTAATGTCAAATTTAGAATTGTCATTTTCCAGTAAAGACGTCTCATTTTTAAATAAATTATGGTTATTTTTAATTAATATACATGCTACTTCTTGTTATGTATTAGAAAAAGTTGCTTTGTTAATATCAAATTTAGACTTATTATTTCTCAATCAAGACTTGTCATCCTCTGGTAGATTGTTGTCACGGGTTGAAGTCACTAGGGGTGTTCAAGGCCGGCCCGTCCCGGTCGGCCCGTTCCGGTCCCGGTCTTATTGGGACGGGACGGATCCGTCCCGAAATTTTTCGGGACGGGACAAACCGGGACGGGACAAAAAAGGGACCGGGACGGGACAGGACGGGACACGGGACGGGGTCGTCCCGTCCCGGTCCCGTCCCGGTCCCTTTTTAAAAAAAAAAATTTAATTTTTTTAACTTTTTTATATAATATCATTTTTTCATATTTTTTTAAGATTTGAGACTATTGTATGGAACTATGGATATATTTATTTAGAGTTTTTATATTTGTTAATGATTTGATATTATTGATGATTAGATTTTTTAGCAAGTTTTTATTGTGTTAAAAGCTTTTGTTTAGAGTTTTTAATAACTATTATATGTAATATTTTGAGCTTTTGTTTAAGAGTGCCCAAACAAATAAAAAAGATGTTTTTATAAGATTTAAGCTCAAAAAATATAATTAAAAAATCAGATTTTTTTTAAAAAAATTTTAAAAAAATTAAAAAATTAAAAAAAATTAAAAAAATATTTCGGGACGTCCCGGTCCCGTCCCGGATCCGTCCCGTCCCGACCGGGACAACCCCGGGACGGGCCGGGACACGGGACAGAAAATCTGTCCCGTTACTGTTCATCGGGACGGAACCGGGACGGGCCTGTCCCGGTCACGATCCGTCCGTGAACACCTCTAGAAGTCACAGTAAAAGAGTCAACTTATTTTTTGTTTGCATTATAAGATTAAGAAATCTTTGATGGCCCAATGGTCATCTTTTTTTTGCCCAAATGGTCAAAGGATTGTGGGATCAAATCCCACCCCGCCACTTTAAACCATTTTCTCCTATGTCCAAAATATATATATCATGACAAAAAAGTTTCACGGGCAATCACCACACCGGTGGCTGCAGGTGGTTGCCAGCCGCCAGCCACCGATGAGAAGCTGAGGTTTTTTAAAAAAAAAGAAAGATAAAAGGTATTTTTATTATTTCACTGAATTTCAAATTTTCAATTTGAGAAGGACTTCCATCTCTATTATTACATTTTCTTAGCTTCCTAAATTGGCATTTCACATTTTCAAACTTCTTTATGTGCCATTTTCCTATAAATAATCATAAATGTCAATATTTGAACTAGAAAAATTCTGAAACAAACAAGATTATTACATGTTATATTCTTTTTTTTAAATATAGAAGTTAATTTGACATTTAATTTAGTATTAAATAAAAGATTCTAATCTAGTTTGTCTTTAATGTTTATTTATTTTTTAAAAATAATTCTTATAGTAGTTATGCATATTAAAAATTTTATCAAATGGTAATTCTAACAAATACGTAAAATTAGTTATGGTATTTTTTTAAAAAATATTTATTTATTATAAATAACCAAATCAATTTTTTAATCTATTCAAGTCAAATCAGTTAACTAACTCTTATATTAAAGATATGAAATAGTATTGGATATGATGTGGCATACATTATTTGTGTTTTATAAGTTAAAGATAAGAGTTGAATGTAATCTAATTGTGGAATATTTTTGCCATCAAATCTATTCAAAAGTCACATTTAAGTTGTGACTCTCCTAAATCAAGTGAGGGAGAAGAACTATTATGACAGCACAACCCTTCCGTAGCGTGTTTAACACATTGCTAGTTAAAAAAAAAAAAATTGGTGAAGGGAAGTTTAGATAAATTGGATCCTACTAGTACATAAAATTTAATCCCAAATCATTTGTTAAGTTGATAATTTTCTAATAATATATTAAATATCAAATAACAATATACAAATAATATGATGTGCTGCCATCTTTGTTTTATATGATATATTTCTAATTGGTAAAATTTTATTTGCCTGTCACAATTAAGGTATGTCTTTTGAATTAGTGATTGGTTCCACCAAAAGTTGCCGGTTTGGTAGTTTCTCCTAGGACTTAAATAATGCAATATCTAAATATAACTATAAAAAAATGAATAAAAGTAAATAGGCATTATGCATTAAACGAGTTAACAGTATTCATGAATTATTAATAGTTTGATTTATTAATAAATGTTATATTTAGGGTCCTTTTACCTGAAAATATTTTAGGCCGATAATATTCATTATTTTATTAATAATTAATCTTATAAAATACTCAATCTGCAATAAATTAAACTATCTAGTATCTAGATATTCAAGGGCAACACATTATGACTTTTGTTTTTTTTCACTTTTAAATAATGGTAATGGTAATCGCAGTTACAATTTTGTCTTTATCCGTGAAATTTTTATTAGGGAAGTTTGTGTTTAATTAGTGATAATATTATTTTTATCAAAATTTGTTGTCTGATTTTATATAAAACATATAATGAATATTTTAAATTTTCATTACCAATTTATAATATTTTTAGGGCAAATGATAACATTAAAGTGCTCGGTTCATAAACTTTTTATATTTCAAATTAAATTTTAAATAAATATTTTAACAAGAAAATAGTCATCAACTTGTTGTATGCAATCTTGCAAAAAGAACCAATGGACAAGTCATAAATCGAGAAGTTTTAATCTAATAATCAAACAAACAATAACATTAAAAATAAATAAATCCAATAAATGAAGAGGCTGGATGGGGATTGGATGTGATGGGGTCGCAGCAGGGGAGGGCGGAGGGAGGGAGTGAAAGACGCGCGTGCGAAGACGCGCTGATGATCTGGCGGTGAGAGATGAATCAGATGGATCGAATATGTATCGTACGGTATGATTCGGCTGAAGGAGCACTGACACATGTTGTACTCTGTTTGTTTTTGTTTCTTTTCTCCTTCTCCTCAGCCAATTTGATGGCTCATGCTTCTCCTGTCCTGTGCCCAAATCCCCAAAGTACGAGTCTCCTTCCTTGTTCAATTTTTAAACACATAAAACTGGACCATCCTGGCATCCTCCATCCAGATAATTCTTTTCGCTGGGAAAAGTCTAATAAAATATCTTCAAAAATTTGAAACCCAGATGAATGCCATGAATATGGCGAATGCCAGTTCAGTATGCAGGGACAAAAATGTAGATTGCAAGTGTTGTCAAATAATTATACACCTAAGTTTTTTTTTTTTAAAAAAAATGTCTAACTCAACCTGCCATGGCTTTATAGCTGAGATATTAAGGCAGTACTTAGATTAACGTTTAAAATCACTTACAAACATATTTTACATAAATCAAAATAAAACTCTTCTCACATGTTTATCTCATATTTCGTAAATCACGATTAAGAAATTACTTATAAATCATTCTAAATGGGTCTTAATTTACTAATGCATGTTGATGTATTAGTGCCAAAGAATATATAATATGACTATCAAATTTTGATCTTATGTATTTACATATTTTGCAATTCACCATAACTCACTAACTATTTATCTTGTCCCAAGGGTGTTAGTTTAGCAATTCACAATCAACTTTTTTTTTCCCTCCAAAATTCAAAGTTCTTCAAATAAAATATGCAATTTAAAGCTACTAGCTT